TTTTTTTTTTTTTTTTTTTTTTTTTTTTTCTTTTTTCCTCTGCCCGTAAAAGGGGAACTCCATTTTCTACAAATTACCATCGTCGCCCTCGGTGACCCCCTCGTTCTCCGCTTTAGCGTCGTCTCGACACTTGTCACCCTGCAAAATGGCCACGTCGTCTACGGCGATGTCGCTCACGTAGCCGCTGCCTCGCACGCCCTCGATTATGACCTGAGAACGAGAAAATGGAAAGCCATTGTGAAGTGAAACGAAATTGCCGGGTTTAGTTTATGTATTCGCGCTTATGCATCCCCTTTTCTCACCTGGAAACCCTTCTTAGCCTTGGGTAGATTGAAAATACCGTGCAGCCATTGATTTCCTTGGTTACCCTCCTTGTTGAACATTAGCCGCGGCAGAAGATCGTTCTCTTGCTTGAAGTACACGTTCAGGGCTCCTATCTTCGTGCCGAACATGTGATACCTGAAATTGTTCCTTCGTTGTCTTTACGGCCGTTGAGAATCCTGTCTTTCTTCTTCTCTCCCAGAGAAGGTCGAGCAATTTCTTTTTTCAAAACTTGAGGCAAATTCAATGAAGAGGGTCATCGTCGTTTCTAATTTTCGTGTGTATTTTCATTTCACTCGAGATGTTAAAATGTTCATTGTCATTCTATTTGTTGAAATAAATGATACGTTTCGTCTTACGGAGTAAGACGAGTGATACGAATTAAATTTGGGATGAGATGTGTGACGACTCAATTGCAAACGAGAAAGATCAACTAATAATAATAATAGCTTGTTATGAATGTTAAACGTCGCGGAAAATTATTAGACTTGAACTGAAAAGCCTCGATTTAACTAGATCTGAATCGTGATTCTCTCACGACGTTTTAATTTTTAACCGTGTATCGATATCAGATCGTCGTAATCAATAAAAAGTTGCAGTATTGTTGAGAGAGAAAAGCTTCGACGTAACGATCAAGTGTCAAACTAATAAATTTCAAACCTCGCAAACCTCAGTCGGCGACAAAAGTCTCGTCGTATTTAATTAGTTCAATGAATCGAGATAACTAACCAAATTGAACGCTAGAATCATCAGATCCATCCATATGACGAGTTTCAAAGTTTCCTTTTTCACAATTGCTAAAAAGATATGGGAATTTTTGTATTCAAAATTAATACTGATTTCTCTAGCCAGAAGTTCAATTCTACTTTGACCATTACTGTTCAAATTGTAATTTAATACGTGAAATATTTTTACACGTACCAAAGACCCAAAGATAGTTTCTAAGTAGTTAAAAATCGAAAAAGTCAGAAATCTCGTTTCGCGCGCTTATGTTCGACCTCAATTGTAAACTTTGCTTACCAGAACGAGAAACAGCCATAATCCGTGTACGATGCGTTGTAAATGGGAGAGATGATCCTCGCCGAGTCGTTTTCCAATCGACCGGTAGCCTCGATGTACAAGTAATAACCTGAAACGGCCGATCGGTTTCAGAGTGAAAAGCTTTAAGAACTTTAGCGTTTAACTCTAAAAAAAAATAAATAATTTCAACTGTACGTGTAAAAACGTGATAAATACCATCGTTCCCTGGCCCTAGCGTGTGATCGTGAGACGGCCCGGTCCCTATGTGATAGTTCGTAGTCTCGAAGTTGTGCCGCTGCCAATCGAAATCGTGCAAAGGATCTTGCTCCCACCAACAGAGATCCGGTTTTTCGAAGTCGCACTGCGTCGGAGGTGAAGCGGTGGTATCTAAATTGCCAGAACGAAACGCGCACCTCCCTTTAGCTACAGAATTCGCGTAAGCCTGCTAGTTCGAATAATTTCTCGGCCAACAGATTAGGGCCGGTGCAAACGAGCATTGCGGTGTTATCCCAACGATAATGTTAGCGCTGTTCGCTAAATTTATAACTGTATCACCGACGCACCTGCGCGCGCCCGATCTTGCCATTGCGAAACTTGCACCGCGCGGGCTAAAAATTTGGCATTACCGTTGCCGTTCCATATTCGTGGAAGTCAAGAGCGTGGAAGAAAGAAATCAGATCAGAATTACTGTTACTTTAAAGAGGTCTTCAGTTGCGAAAGCAAAATATCTTATATAATATCTTGTAACGTAGTCGCACAAATGTCGGCAAATAAAGACGTCGTGTCAAGTTTTGATCAAGTATTTGCTCGAGTTTGAAAAAGATTGAGAAGAAGAAAAGGTATGAATACCTCGGCAATAAGGCACTGTGCCATTCCAGTGTCTTCCGTCGCAATAAATCTCGTGCGAGCCGATCAACGTGTATCCAGGTTCGCAGAAATACAACAGTATCGCGCCGTTGTACTTAGGCGCCATCAGCGCGTGTTCTGGCATGGCTGGAGCGGGACATTCTGCATCTGTTGGCGGCAATAATAAAGTGATTAATGAACTGAAACATCCAGAATGTCCATTCGTAGAAAAGTCACATTGAAAGAAGGCTGTTGGTGTACGTAGTTTTATCAATTGTGATTAGAAAGGCGTGCTTACTGACGCATATAGGCGTAGGCCTATCCCACTGGCCTCGAAAACAAGTCGCGTACTTGCTACCTACGAGACTGAAACCCTCGTAACAACTAAATCTGATGATTCTCCCTCTGGCCCTCGATCGGACTCGGCCGTTCACCAGCCTCACCTGCGGACACCTGCCGGTACCTTGAAAATTAATATTCACGGAATTAATTATTATATTTCACTTCACAATCAATTAATTAATCGATCGTAAAATTATATCGTTGACAGATGACGAAGGACTCTGCCTCGACTCTGCTGCCGAACAATGAAACTACTGGCCATTGAAGAATTATTATTACGTTCAATGGAAATGAAACGATATAAAAGTGTAGACGGCCTCGTATAATCGTGCGTTTTCTTTTTGTTGCAGTAAAGAAGAATTTGAAAATCGACGAGAGTATGGAAGTCGCAGAGAGGAGGCACAATGAACGAATTTATTCTTTACAGACACCTCGATATACAGATTATTGAATATTCAACGTTGGCCTTTGTTTGGTAATAATACTCCTCGCGTAATAAATGCCGCGCGTAATTTTCAATGCTATACAAAGGCGGATTGAAATCGATAGGCCGGGTGAAATTGAATTTTAATTCCTGCTCAACCAAGAAACCCTTTCACCTCGTTTCCGCGCCCTGTAGTAAATTGCCGGCAGAAAACGAAAGTAAGTGCACACTAGTTGCTCGCATTTGATCCTTTAAAGGAAAGCCGTGGAAAGTGCTCGACATTGTTCTTCAAATTTTTACAATCGACGAAATGTAGAAATAAATAGAATAAATTATTATAACGCGGCCGAAGTGTAATCGAGCGCGTTCTCTGGTTTCACAAATAACGCGATGCGAATTTAATAAAAGCCTCTATTAAAAAGGATGAAACAGGAAAACGCGAAGGAAATAACGTTGTTTCCCGATCGAAAATAACCATTTGGTTAATCCGCTTACAAAATGGAATTTCGTTGCTTTCTCAGTTGTTGTACAAACGAAAAATGCAGAAAATTTTTGCTTTTTGTATTGCGATTTTCCTTCTGATTTTCGTGTAGATTGTAGATAACGAGAAGATTAAATGCGGTTGGTTAATAATAGCCAGACAACGATAACGACAATATATTTAACTACCAAAAAAAAAAAAAATAAAAGATTCTATCATATTAGTGAATTTTAAAACGTTATGTGTCTTTTACACGTAATATATATTTATGGTGAAAATTTTGAAAAAAACATAATTTAATTGTAAATCCTCGTAATAGAGAATTAACACTTAACTTACTCGTCGTTGGACGTATTGGATAGTAGCAGACAATGTACTGCGCCAGGAAGACTAACAGAAGAAGCGCCATCGAAATGATCTTCATTGTGAAAACGTATGCTTTACAACTAAACTATTCACCGTACTCATAACTTGTGAACCACACTGAAGGAAACGTTTCTTTCAGCTCTTGTTTCTTTCTCTTTTTATTAAATTAAATGTGTCGTGCGCACGTAGGACAGAAACACCACCAGGAAGGAAAGAGGAACTCAAATGGCGAACGGCGAACCGCGCGAAGAACGATCGAGTTAAACACGAAAGACGCACTGGACGAGGAATAAAAAGTAAAATATGCTGCTGATCCTTCTGCATCTATGACTGTAATAGGGATGCTGCGTTTCGGGTTTATTCAGCTCCGAATGGAAGGGCGGGAACATCACTTCCGTCGACACGCTGCCATGATAAGTGTTCTATCTGCTTCCGGCCGGCGTTATCAACGTCGAACATTGCCAGGCCTTGAAGAGAATTCCTACAAGTTGCATTTTGCTCTACAGATAAATGAATTCCGAGAAGGGAGAAACACTGACCGCCTCTGATTAAATCATGTCCTGGCGCCAGGATTCTTTTCTTTCTTTCTTTCTTTTTTTTTTTTTTTTTTTTTTGAACCGACGTCACAGTCATACATTCAACCCCTTTCGTACATCTCAAGGTATCTTCACGGACTGAAGATCATGAAAGGAAGAAACTGGTTGAAATGATAAATATAGTAATTGTCTGGATACGTTATAAAATTATATTTTATTTGCATTGTAAAATATGCATATATAATAGTATCTACGTGATTTATAAAATGTTATGTACAGGAAATTATAACAAGTCAATTAGTTAGAAGATAAAAGTAATCTTAAAATATCTAATACATGTGTTATCATGTAAAGTATTTCCAATTAAAAACTTGTTCGTTGTAGAATATTACGCGACACTGCATTTTTTATTATTTTTTTTTTTTATTTTAAAGCAATATTTAGAACAATATACAAATTATAAAATAATATGTATCATATTATACAAATTATACAAATTATAAAACAATATGTACAATCAATGGCTTCGGAATTCGAATACTTTCAGTCTTCGGTTTTATTATTGTGTTAATTAAAATAACATTGAGATTTCTCATACTAAGACTAAATCTAAGACTAAGACTAAATCACTCTTTAGTAATAGACTAAGATCTATTACTAAAGAGTGATTTAATCGTGACCAGAAATTTATTATGATTTTCGTTCTTTTTGGGCCTCGCAGATAGTGATTGTACGAACGATGTTTTGAAATTTGATAATATATCCAACTCCTTTTTAGAGTTGCCTACTCCTAATTGCTCCATTTCAGGCAGCTGTGTTCTATCCAAAATAAATGTCTGTTTTATTCGATTCATGGCCTCTTCTGCAAAAGAAGAAAGTTTACATTGCAATTAATAAGTTAATATTATGCTTTTTAAAGACAGAACAAAAAGATGTTCTAAAAGGAATGAAATAGTAAAAAAGAATTAATGAAACTGAAATCTATGACGATGACAGAAGATGAGTAATCAGCAAAACGGAAATATAAAAATTCTCTGATAAACAGGGACAAAATTAAAATGGTCCGTATCGTAGATACGAGAGTAACAACAAAAGTATCAATGAATGAAGAGGAAGTTTCGAAATTAGCATGATCGTACTTTTTCTAATATAAATGTATTCATACTTACGTTCGTTTTCGTGGAAGACAAAATTCTTGAAGGCACTTAAATTCCTCATGAATAAATGAAATGAATCTTCAATATCTGACAATCGAATTATAAAATCTGGGTCACATATGGCTACGTGAGACAAGAACCTAATTCCATCTCTCAATACCTTTGATTGCCTTTTTTTCATAATCGACCAATTGTTCTCGTCTGAGAATTTATCTTTGTATATCTCGTGTATGCACAATTTACTTGGTCTTGTGTTGAACAACGAATGTTTGGCACAAATGGCATTTAAGATGCAAAAATCTTCCTTTGGCATAGGAAAATCAATCGAATTAAAATTCTCAATCGTAGTTAAATTTGTCTCGGTACATTTGCACAGCGTTTTAATGGTGAACCTCAGTAATTTCATGCAACAATTGCAAGAATTCAAGGTTTCAGACCTCAAAGGAATAACATCTGTTTGCAGTATGTACTGTACAAATTGTAATAATACGTCTGTAATATCCACTGCGGTTAATAGATCGAAATGATAGTTTTCCAATTGTACTAAAAAAATTTGCAGCGGACAAGCATCTGCAACAAAAATATATGACAATTTCTAAAATTCAATTATTCAGAAAAACAAAGATTTACCTGGAGTAAAGTGTAAAGAACCCTTCCAATTCTTCACCGCCATTGATTCTATAAAAATGATAATGAAATTTAAAATGATGATAATGAAATGATATTTTTCCTTTATTTTTTTTTTTTTTTTTTGTAAAAATTGTACATGCAAAAACATGACTATTAATACAGTAAACATCATACTTGAATTAATACAGAGTTTCCGCAAATATGTCGTTGATTTCATAAAAATCATCATTAAATTACTGACTAACGCGTAACAATATGGCAAAGGCCTACAAAATACTATTTCTTTAAATATCTGGTAAATATATTCCATTCTGCAACAGATAATTTTAAATTTAAAAGATATATTTTAAAATATAAAATTTATTGAGGAAAAAGATATCCCATAATACCCTTCAGAGCAGTATTCAACTTTTTCATGAACATTGTAGATAACCATCATAATTGCACATAAAAGACCACTAAATTGATGGGACCTTCTCTAATAGTAATAAAAAATAAAATTAGTAAAAACATTCATTCACTTTAATTACCAATATATGTAGAATATTACCGTGGATCCAACTAAAACAACGAACTGCAATATCATTTTAAGCATCTCAAATTCACATCCCTGTTCTAACCAGGTATTATAACGAACCATTTTACACGAGTAAATCTTGTAAGATTCATCCCTTTCTACAAGCAAACGTGTTTTTCCTGCGATATACTTGCTGAGGTAAGTCGATTCAACGGTTACGTATGACAACACGCCAAACACTCTTCTAGCTTCGACACCACGTTCACACTCGTGCCATGCATTTGCAGAACATATGCATTTTCCATTGAAATCAGAAGTCGAATACAAGGAAGAAAAATAAATATCATTCATATCTCGAATGTCGTCATTTCTCATGGCTTGAGAGATCGTTTGTAGAACAACTACTATATTTAAGATCAATTCCCTCGCAGTAGAAACTAACTGAAATATAATGATCAGCAAATTTTTTTTATCATTTGACAACACGAATTAAAATATATATACTTACTGAATAACTTACTTTGTTCATTATTGGTATAGTTTTCTCCGCTTCGAGTTCTGAACTCGTTTTCCGCTGAAGAGCAGCTATTTCCGGCAAAATAAATTCAACCGATAATTTTTTATCGTCTATCACTGTTGTTACAGGTTTTACTAATTCCGGATTTTCTACAAAAGACACGAAAATATAACCAAAGATATACTATACTATAATATAAGATGTTAAAAAAATTTTACCGAATATTCTATATGTGTCTTCTTCTTGTAAAATCGGCAAGTTTCGCCTTCCAATTTTTTCTATAATTTGAATATCAACCACAGATTTCTCTAATTGCGGTGGATCGTATATTAATTTTGGTATTTCTGTAAGAGGAAAATCTGCAATATGTTCTTATTAAATTTATTATTATGATAATTATGAATATTGCATAAATTAATGTTTTTTAAGTTACAATCTGCTTACATGGATTCCATATTTTAAGGATATAACTGCTTTTATTAAATACATTAGTTTGTACGCAAGTTTCTTTGACCTTAACTGATTTTGTAGTTGATGGCCTAAAAATAATAATTTTTTAATAAATAGTAAATATTTAAAATATAAGTAGTTTAAATATTTACCGATTCATTGGTGAATTAAGTTTGCTTCTGTTTGTAGAAATATTAAAATTTATATGTGGTTCTACGAATTTAACATTTCCACCCTCTAACAATTTACAACGTTCCATTAAATTCCCTATCTCGAATGTCTAAAAAAAAAAAAGAAAGAATTAAAATTTATTGTATAACAAAATTAAAAGAACTTATTTATAAACCACTGACCTGCAATTCAAGTTGCGTTTTTAAATTTTCCTTCTCTTTACAAATGGCATTAATTTCCATTCTATGTCGATTTTCTTGTTCTTCAATAAATTGTCTTTTTTCTAATCTATCATTCTCTGCTCTTAATTGTGTTTGTTGCAGCTGATTTCGCAAAAACACTGCTTCCCCATCTTTAGTTATAAAATCATTTAACAATTTCTGATTTTCAACTTTCAACTTCTCCAATTCCTTTAGGTATTCTGATTCTGAAATTGTAAATTTTGCAATACAAGTGATCTATAAAACATCATAATTTGCCACAATATTACCTGTAATAGGATGTTCATCCAGCTTAAATGTAGAATTATATATTTTCTTATTCATTAATTTATTCTTGAACTGTGTGTAATTGACAGAAACTATGGTGCTTATATCTTGTGAATTCTCTACTTCTTTCACTTGACTATTATACTGTGATGGATTTACAAGTTTTGATAATTTATGAGCATTACCATTTAAATTAGGAATTGCTTTACTAGTAGATGGTTTTTGATCTGTTGTTGATTGGCTCGTGAAATCATCATCCTAAAAATAAAACATCATGAATAATTAAAAGTATACACAACGCAAGAACATGCAAAATATGCAACATAAATGAAACCTGCAAACAAGCCTGAGTAGCCACAATGTCCATTTCTTCAATATCTTCTTCTGCAAAATCATCTCCCCAGACATCATCTGATTTTCCAGACTTTTTATTTCTTGACTCTCTTGTAGAAGTACCTACCAAGCTGTCTCTCTTTATGTCATATCTTGGCCGTTTGGCAGGTATAGTGTTTTCATTTTCTCTGTTAATTTCTATTCGCTTAAACATTTTAATTTGTTTAGGCTACGATATTCGGCAATACAAAACATACATTTAACAAAACTTTCCTGTCAATTCTTTGTATTCAATGAAAATTATTTATGATATTATTTATTCGTAATTAACAAAATTGTTATTTGGGACAACAATTTATATCACATTTTGTTCAACTTACAATATAATTTAATGAAATAATTACTGTAAAATATTAATTCTTTCTTTTGGGTATTAATACATTCTAACCCCGTGATTATTTTAAAATCTCTACCAATAACATCAGAATAACGTGAAAATTCGATAAAGATGTAACAAACTTGTTTTTCATATTACGTATCAGTTTGTTATAAGAAATTGTTATGATGATTTAAACAATTGAAAGTTATTTGTCAAAAGTATATGACAAGTACTTCTCAAGAGTTTTCAAACGTGCTGAAACAATGTCACTTTAATTGAAGAAACATATTGCCAACATAAACACTTACTTTATTACCGACATAAACACAAGTTTACAAGAAAACTAGTTCCTTCGTAGAGTTTTATATATTCTATGGTATAAAACGGTGTTCGCAATAACTAATCCTATTTTTAGAGCTACATAAAAAAGATATACTAATTACATATATATATTTTACTGTTTATAATTTTATGATAAATAACACGATGCCTTATTTTTTTCTATATATCTTAAATTAATGTCTGACTTTATGATTTGGCTAAATCGATTTCACAAACTATATTTCTCAATTATGTAATATTATGCAATATTTTTTTATATTTATTTTTTAGAGTATATGTGATAACTTTATAGTGATAACTAAAAATATGAATTATTGCAGAAATATTGCAATTTATGTATTCTTAACTACATAGATCTGTCTAATTTTAAGTACAACTATTTTTATTTCATAAATTATATAGGATGGAGTTTAAATACAATTTGTAATAGATATATCTGATTTAATAAAATATACCATATACCATTACTTTATTAATATAATTATACAATGGATTACATATGAAAAATATTTATTACACGAAAATTAGGAATGATAGTTGAACTCATATTCAAACTTGTAACAGATGCAACATTGTTTAGTTTCTAATGATTTTTCCATTACTTGCAATATTATAATAGAATATATATTTAGGCTGCAATTCCAACAACACCACAAGCTAATCGTGCTCCAGCATTTCCTGTTGTCTTAGACAATTCAACTCCACCTTTACCAAGGTCATCTGGATCAGCATGAACCTATCAAAAAAAAAAAAAAAATAGAAACCAAATTATACTTGATTTATCATTACACAAAATTCATAAAAAAAAAACATTACACAGTACTCACCACCAGAGTTCTACCAATAATGTTGTGTGGTCCTTGAAGTTGAATAATCTTGTCAGTTATGTCGACATTAGCAACACCACTTGCATTTGCTTCAACATTGCCTAAATCTCCAACATGACGCACATCTGCATCAGGACCACCATGATCTTTTTTTAACGGGTTGAAATGTGGTCCAGCACTTGTACAACCTGTTAAACACATAAAAAGCATTAATATAATAAATTTTAGAAACGTTTTTATACTTTGTGTAACTACATAAACAATTTTTCACAATTACTTATGTATATTAACTATATAGACGAAAAAAGTGATTATGGCATTTACTATTTATGTAAGAACATAAAATACTTAATGCAAGTTAGAATAAATACATGTTATTATTTACTGGCCTTATCTACTGTTGCTTGAGACAAAACAACATTTTTTTTATGAAACAAATTACATTTGATTAGCATTCAGAAGCTTTTAATAACAATGATGGAGAATAAAATCATAAAACTTCAATGGCAATGCCTTTACCGTTAGTATTATCGCCGAATTCGTGAATGTGAAAGCCATGCAGCCCTTGCTTTAAACCGGTTACTTGACCTGTGACCTTGACTGGACTAGAGTTATCCTGTGCGACAATCACATTGTAGAAAACAATAATAATATAATCAATATTACATTGAAATGACTGAAGAAATATTATTTACCGGCTGCTCAAAGTAAATGGTGCCTTTGACTTCACCCTGAAGAACGCACACAGCCTTAACCATCTTTAGAAGTTTCTCGACTACGTTCGTCAGCAACAACCGTTTATAGAATGTAGCTTGTTCGTATTCGTAACAACTACCGGTTAGTTACAAGATGCAATTACCGTTTTGCTGAATCACGAACGCAAATACGCTGACGAATCGTATATCGAGCGTTTGAACTGATAAAACGATGACCTTAGTGTTCGGTTGAGGTAATGACGTATCACACGAAGTTGCAATCAATGACCATTGACATACGTACGTACAAGACGAACAGAAAAATCATCTGTAGTTACACAAAAAGAAAATATGAGATAATATTAGAGTTTGGATCTTGGGCTCGAGGTGGCGTTATATATTACTGGGGAATTTTTTAGATAAATATGTCGGTGATTATGAAACTGCCATAATATGTATATTCTTTGCTTTGAAATGTCCATTTTATTTTGCGTTCAAGTATAATAAAAAATATTTTTTCGTTGTGAAATAGAATGTTTAAAAAAGTATTTACTTTTATAATATGATATAATATCTTTTCTGTTGTTCTAAAAGTCTTTAGTAGATTGCAAGAAAATGTAGTTTTTGAAGTTTCGAATGATTTGACCTTTAAAATTAATATATCTTAAAATTACTTTTAACTAACAAAATGCGAAAAATTTGCTTCAAAAATTGAATTATTAATCATTTTGTGTATAAAATATAGTTTTTTTATAATCTTTATGTAGAAAAGATTAAGACAGTTTTAAAATGTTCTTATTCGATACATTCGATAACATTCGATAATTGAAAATAACAATTATCGATAGTTAAAATTGTGTCAAATTATCGAACTTCGAGACCGAGATGACAATTGAGTATTTAAGTTTAGAATTGGATGGTCCACAGTGATTTTCGTATTGGAATTTATTTATTTCAAATCAGAAATTAAAAATGAAAGCTTTCCGTACTACGACTCTTTTAGAAGCGATTCGAAATATATTTCGAGGTGTAAGTAACCTTTCAACGCTTTAATCTACGTTTTATATTATTTATTTTTATAAATATTACGTAACTTGTTGTTTTTTTTTATCAATATATACGCTGAAACTATTTTTCACATAGTAATTCAGATCTAGCATTGCTAACGTGTAAATTAATGGAATTAAATTTTACTTTTTACGAGTGCATCCATCTTGTTGGTTATGTATCAAATGTTATTATGTCAAAATAAATAGTGATAGTTATGTTTGTGTGGAATGTAATAAATTAATTTACGCGATGCAAAATGAACATTACAGAAACCATACGATGATGGTTTGAGATATGCAGATAAAATTGCTGCACGTACACAACCACAGCCTTGTGTACCTCTTGGGCCTTATCATAAAAGTTCAAAGGTATATTATTACACTCGTGATGCTAGGCGTTCTGTAGAACCACCAAGTGTGATATACACAGCAGACCAGTTAGAAGCAGGGTAAATATATTTCTAATATTTCATATATACAAAGTGATCAACAAAACGAGTGAAAATTGTACATACTACATTAATATTTTAGTTGCATAGAGTATTTACTAATTTTTATTTTATTATTGAATTTCTTATAATGCTAGTGAAACTCAAGATACATTGAATATAATTTTTTCAGGAAAGTTGATTTGTCTCAAGTAAACTTGAATCCACTTAGGAAACAACTGTCAAGTAAATGAATGCAATAAAATAAATATTAGTTATACTTTAAATGTAATATATAATAAATAAAATTAGCTTAAATAGAAGTTTTACGTGTTATTTGAAGTTTTAATTTATAATTTGATATTTTTACATGTAAGTAAATATTCTGCTGTTTAACATTTAACTGATAACAGTACATAAATAATAAACAGAGGAATGTCTCTCATATACACATCTTTTGCTTGATAGCAAGCATATAGGATAATTCTTTTCCAATTTATAATACATTATTGTTATATACATTCAGAGCCTAATGCTTCCATAAAATTTATGTGAATCTAAGAATAACATTGACACTGAGGGGTTTGTACAGACAGCAGACTCGATGCTGCTGTATCTAACAATATAGTACATGGTGTATCCATTTAACAATCTTTGCAAGGATAATGAACTCCTTCATTATAAATTAACAATCGTCAACGAAAGTTATTTAGAAATGTTAATTTAATAGGGAATTTGATTTTGATAATACTGTATCATATCGTAAGTTTTCGTACGGAAATTGAGGTAGCTGTTACGTATTACATTGAGCATATAGGCCGCCGCTTCACGATCAGTTGCTGTCGGCACGAATCTGCCGCGTAAAAGTTTTATCGTTTGTCCACGGAAACACGGTAATCCAGTATCAAGCATCAGAGAAACCAGAGAAATAATAGCCTCTTGATAAGGTCTGTGAAACAATGTTACAGTTTAATCTGTAAATTTCTAGAATTTTCCTATTTAAACATTTATTAACAACTTACCTTACGGCGAGAAAAGCTTGTACACATAATTCCATGAACCAACGGAAAGGCGCGGCTTCCATTTTACCTCCCATTACGAGCACCATTTCATCCGTCAGCTTAATATCAGGCTCGAAGCCTAAATTGCCGCCAGGCGAACTTTCAAACATAAATCCAAAATCTATATGTATGATATGACCTTCAGTATCCAACATAATGTTCCCATTGTGGCGATCTTTTATTTGTAGAAGATATGTAATCACGCTGTAAGCAGCCATTGATTTTACAAAATTGCGACGTACATTTTGAAATTCTTTTGTAGTTTCATCTCCATAACGTGTAATGAAATATTGATGCATGTCAATATCAGTGGTGCGACCAAGTTGATCGCGTGAAGTTGCATTAGGTACACATTCTATTACACCGCACTGGAATAGTAATTTTTTGCAGTTTAGTAATGTCTATCAAAACTGTTTTTTATGACTATAACATTCCTTACCCCAGGTGCTGTAGCTACTACTCTATACGGAAACAAGAATAAATTTAATCCAACTTTTTGAAATATATTCTTAAAAATACTGATCACTTGTAAAGCTAACATATCCTGTCTAACGTCATCTCCGACTTTAAAAATAGCAGCTTGCCAAGTCTCTTTTTCTGGTTCTCTTTTAACATCAACTTTACCAGCAGCCGACACTGCTAATGCAATATTCTCTAACTCGTTAATTCCATATTTTCGAACTTTGAAACGCGCTAAAAATGGTGCTTTTGCGGCACTATAAACGACAATAATAAATCAAATATTAATAACAATATAATATCATAAATAAATAATATAAACCAAAATACTTACCTCTGCATAGGTGTTCCACTTTGATAATCAATATCAATTACCATAGCTTCAGGATTGGATGGTAAATAACAACCTGGTTGTACTTTGATATTTGATAACGATTTTAGGCACGCTGCTTTACGTTCAGGGCCTTTAGGATATGGCCTTATTTCACCTGAAATATTCGTAATCTTCTCGAAAAAGTCGAATTCCCTTTCATAAAATTGTTTTGCCGGGCCAGACAATGATCCTAAAATACTTTTCACAAGCGAATCTAATATATCATACAGAACAGGGTCTTTTACTTGTTTGTCTTCGTCCATATATATATTTGTGTACATATTCCAAATTAATTGATGTGCTACGACCTGTATATCAAATTAAGAATAACTATAAAGATTTTGATTTAAACAATTAATAATTGAGCGATATTCTTAATATTTACCTGTGAACGTTTAGAAATTTTCTTTATAAACTCTATCACATAACCCATAGTATCATGGCGTACAGCTTGTACAAGTTGTGGTATATAGAAAAGTACTGCATCTGCTGGATAACTACTTAGCACCTCTACTGCGTATTGTGCAGAGATTGGATGATGAGGGAATTGACGAGAAAAATATGCCAGAGCTTGAATAGGCGATACTCTCTCCCAAGTTAGCATATACACCAACTAAAACATTAATTAATAAATCAGAGTTTATAATTCTTTGAATCTTCCGAAATTGACAGTGCAAAAAAAAAAAAAAATCTTACTTCAGGTACGTCGTTAAGTAATGTATCAGTCGTAACGAGATATTGTAAAGCCTCTGGAACGTGCATAACTGGCACAGGTTTAAGACGGACAAGTCCACATACTTCTTTGATAATAATTTCTGAATTCTTTAATCGAACTGGTAAAAATATAGCAAGAACAGGACTAATCTCCCATGCCAGCCGTGTATACTCTCGCCATCGATCATTCATTCCCTTAGCACGCCATTCTGCAATGCTTGATTCACCTGGAAGTGCAAGCTCTTGTCTTCCACTAGGATTTCTCCAGACCTATGTAACGAAAGTGTTAAAGTGCTGACAAAGATATTCAAAAGAGATTACAAAGTGCAAGATTGAACTTACTAATAACATTTCTATTTCAACTGCCAGTAATTCGAGTATCAAGTTTCTTTTTTTTATATAATCTTTTACAAAGACGTTAGCATTCATGACACGCTTGCTACGATTACTACGTTTCCCCAATGTATTACTACTAGTAGACATTGGAACTGTATTGATCCATACGCTTGTTGGTGTTTTCGAAAATTCAGTATTCGTTGTACCCAAGGCCGTACTCAAGGAGCTAATTGTTTCACTAGGTCCGAAACCGCCAGTTGAACACGACTGGGGTGTTAACATTTCAAATTCACTTTCGGTACCAGTCATTACTAAATATTTCTTGTCACTGTGCATTACCTACAATATGATAAATATTATAAAAGAAGAAAAAAAATATCAGTGCTTTTTTAGTCGAATATGATTTACTGACTTGCCAGAAACGTATAAGAGTAACTAAGTCCTCGTGTAATTGTTCTAGTTCTTGCGTTGGTACTTGACGATCTCGACAGAAATAATCCAAGCAATTACAATATACGCGTTCTCGTAAGACGTTTTTGCTTAATGTCCTGTAATCAGACATTTGTTGCTTGATTATCTATTAAGACATATTATAATATTATAATACCTCGACAAAATATCTCCTTGAAGAAGAAGAAGTCCACAAGAAAGTAATTTAAAACGCACTCCAACCGCAGCAACGTGACGACTCATTCCAGGTTCCTCACCAGAAGCACCAACAGTCATAGGCAATGACCGATGTAACAATGTGACTATCATATCAACTGTTTCTTGACAGCAATATTTAGCAGTTTCAATCAATTCCACAATAAATGTAACCCAAATATCATGAGGTTTCACTTGTGGAGGATTCGGACCCAATTTGCAGCCTTCATATACTGCTAATGGATTGACTTCTTCTTCATCGGGAGCAAACAAACCCATTCTTTTGTCAACAGTATATTGCCACGCAACGAGCATTTCTTGTAAGAAACGCAATTTCAAATCGGGCCGTACAGTGAGTATCCACTGCCAACATTCAACAGCTGTTGTCATAGCTGCAGGAGTGAACAGTTCAATTTGCGAAGAAGCTACTGTATGCAGCAAACGTCTATGTGTCCCTAAATATAAATTAAGATGTTATAATGTATTAATTATGAAACAAGATTAAATAATTCTCAAAAAATTATAATTTGACAATTACCAGGCATAGAAATTAATAATGCAGTAGCACGCCAAAGAGCACTACGATGATTAACATCATTTCGAGCACGGCAAGCCATCCACACAGCATCGATTAATAAGTCAACTACTTTGTTTCTAATTTCCTCAAATGATATTTCGGAAGTAGAAGATTCAGTTTGCGCTAACGACAACATTCCCGCTATTTCTCCAGCATATCGTGATCGAGTGGACATCATTGATAGAAGCCACGAGCTGGCTCCTTTTGGACCACGTGGCCGTTTATCTAATGAATTAGTCTACAACGAGTAGATTTCATTGTTTTTAAGATAAAGTATTTTGAAAAATTACATATTAAGAATATGACTTTACATTTGGTAAGGCCGATGCTGGAATAGCAAGGTCCACAAATTCAAGAACTGAATCCGTAGATAAACATAAACCAGAATGATGTTTTAGTCTAGAAGACGGGATTTGATTTACATATTCCTGTAAGTGCGATCTAGTGGCTTGAGGCGCCCACTTCATGGCCTCCTGCACTATACCTTTACATCTTGCAGTGAAATCTTTCACGATAATCTGTACAGCATAATTTAGATTTAGGATATGAGTAATTCATTCGCATAATTCTAATATACATACTTCTCTTGCTTCGAGCGTATCCATAAGTACAATACTGTATGGTGTACCAGGTATTCGTAAAATTGGTGTCTCTTCATTTGGATCAATTTGTAACGAGAAAGATAAAATCTGTACAAATAATAATTTAATTAACGGCACAGTGAAAGAAATATACTCTGGGATAAAAGATCATCTGTACCTGTAATATATCCAACATACTCCAAAGCACTTTACAATTCCATAAAAGATGCGGGAACGCATCTACCAGTGCACTAAGATACTTATCCGCTATTCGTCTAATCTGCTTATGTACATGATTAAAATACACCAGAAGAAATTGAGCATGATTTTCGAGTTCTTTTTCCCGCCTTTCGTCTTTTGGCTTACGCTGCATAACATCTTTGAACTTTACAAAAACGGAATCAGCGACACAACATATACACTGCCACATGCCACTCTTATCTTTTTGCAAATCTGTATCGCATAAATATTCCATTATTGGTTGTAAACTAGGTTCAGGACTGTTTGCTACCCTCAACGTCTCTAACCAATAGACTGATAATAAATATGTACACTGTGCAAATTGCAATTTCGTTAC